TTGAGAATAGGAATAACGGCAAAATATTCATTCTTTCTACCCTTAGTTAACAAAGCAATGGGCATCCCTGTCACTATAAAATAAGAAAAAGCAGAAGAAATTAAAACTGCTCAGAGGTTGTGGAGGGAGTAAAACTGTCTCTATTTACAAATTACATAATTTCATAGTAATTCTCAAAGAATTACAATAAAAACAGCAACACCAAAACTAATAACTGAGTTAACCACAGAATACAACAACACACAAAACCCAGTTCCCTAAATATAAATATGTGGACCCTGAAGTGATTCTCTACGTTTGTTTGTTTGTTTGTTTGTTTGGAGACAAGGTTTCTCTGTAGCTTTGGAGCCTGTCCTGGAACTAGCTCTTATAGACTAGGCTGACCTTGAATTTACAGAGATCTGCCTGCCTCTGCCTCCTGAGTGCTGGGATTAAAGGCCTGTGCCACCAACACCCAGCTGATTCTCTACTATTTATAGTCACTCTAAAGAAAAATGTAGTACTTAGGTAAAAACTTGACAACACATAGACAGGATCTGTTTGCTAAGGATTATCAAATGATTTTAAGAAAAAGAAAGAAAGGAAAGAAAGAAAGAAAGAAAGAAAGAAAGAAAGAAAGAAAGAAAGAAAGGAAGGAAGGAAGGAAGGAAGGAAGAAAGAAAGAAAGAAAGGCCCTATAAATGGAGCCAGAAAACAACTGATCAAGGAAATCAATTCTTCTCTACTTTATCTACTCCTTAATGTGATTTTTTTTTAAAAAAAAGATTTATGTATTTATTTATTAAGCATACAATGTACTGCTGGCAAGGAAGGTACCAGGTCTCATTACAGATGGTTGTGAGCCACCATGTGGTTGCTGGGAATTGAACTCGGGACCTCTGGAAGAGCAGCCAGTGCTCTTACCCTCTGAGCCATCTCTCCAGCCCCCCTTAATGTGATTCTTATTAATATCCCAGCAACTCTTTTGTAGCCATAGGTTTATTCTAGCATTTATATGGGAAACCCACAGATCATGGCGAAGACTCACTCCATTTGACCTTAGGACTTAACACACAACTGCCACGACCAAGAGAGCCACTGCCACGACCAAGAGAGCCATCACAGCTTCCGTTCCGTGTGCCTATTCTGTGCCTATTCTAAGTGTATAGAAGTTCACTGAGGTTCTAGACTTTGGATCTGGATTATGTTGGTGTGATGTTTTTTTTTATTTATTTGCAAGATTTTTAAAAATAAAGTTTATAAATTCTTTTTTAGGAATCTAACTATAAAGAGAATCAGTGTTGTAGAACAGAGGACCTAGGCTAAACCTACACAAATATACCTAACGATTTGTGAAAAAGGTGCAAGATCCATTTGATGGGAATAAAAACAATCTCTTTTCAACAATAAAGCTGGGACATGGGCATTCATGGCCAAAACAATAAATGTCAAAATTACAAATAAACAATCCCTCATCTTCAAGAGAATGATAACAGAAACCAGAAATTGGGAGACAGTATTTGCAAAAGAAACATCTAAAAGAGAACTGCTACTCAAAATATATTTAAAATGAACCCTTAACATTCAGTAGTAAGACGCAGACCATGGTGGGGGTGTGCCTTTAATCCCAACACTTTGCGAGTTTGAGACCAGCATAATCTACATAGGAAGGCCCAGATCAGCCAATGCTACATACCATGTCAAAAAAAAAAAAAAAAGTCAACAAGCTTATTAAAAAATGAGCCCAAGTCTTTGAAGACTCAGCAAAGGAGACAAGCAGAGGTAAATAGCACAGGACAGAATGCTTTTTACCATATATCATCTGGGAAGAGCAAGCTAAAGGAACAGTGGGACACCACTATGTCCCTGTGAGGATGAGTACGATCCAGATCACTGGACTAATAAAAAACAAGACAGTATATTGTAGTAAATGTTATGACTGATTTCTTTTTCTCCTTCAAGTATCTTTTTAAAAATTTACTTGTATGTATGTGTGTGTATGTGAGTGTGTATGTGTGTGTCTGTATGTCTCTATCTGTGAATGTGGGTGCAGATGTCCAAAGAAGCCAGAAGAGGGCACTGGGATACCCTGGAGATGAAATTACAAGGCATTTGTAAACCACTTGACATGGGTGCTGGGAACTAAGTTCTCATCCTCTGTAAGAGCAGCAAGTGTTCTTCGCCTCTCTCCAGGCCTCAAACATCTTATTGTGCTGTGTGCACCCTCCATATGACAGTGTAAGATTGCCTATGGGATGATAGGAGAGAGATAAGATGCATGGTGGGCATTGTGATGTAGATTTGGGCTGCTGTGGACAAGTAGCTTAAAGACAAATATTACAGTACGGTTGGTCTGGAACCTGGGATTGCTACTAAGTGACTCATGGATAGTGGTCTGTGTAGCATGCATTGTGTCTTCAGTGACTGACTCCCATCCCCACCCCCACCCCCCAGGTCAGAGCAAAGAATTCTAAGAGAGTTCTACTGATGCTTCTCAGATGCAGGGAAACTGATTTTTTTATAGTGTACTGTGGAAAGAAGGGAAGAAGGCACAGTGACCAGGAAACATGGTGACTGGGGACCACAGAGACTGGGAAACAGTTTGACAATGAAACTAAGCATGCAATCATTATAGGAGCCAAAAATTGAACACTTGGGTACTTATCTCGGAGAAATGAAAATGAATATACACAAACACACACATGCACGCACATACACACACACACACACACTTGAGTGTGTGCTTGTGCATTTGTGCCTGTACATAAATGCACATGACAACTTCATTTGGAATAGCTAAAAACTAGAAGCAAAGCAGACATGCTTTGATGGGGGAATGACCTGAAAACTATATTGCACCTCCATGGACTACAACTCCATAGTGACAGGGAACAGACTCTGCTGCACAACAGTGTGGATGTATGTCAAGAGCATTCTGCCCACTGAAAAAAAAAGTCAGTTCTAAAAGATAACATATTGTCTGACCCTGTCTTAGCTAGTGTTTCTATTGCTGTGAAGAGACACCATGACCATGGCAACTCTTATAAAGGAAAACATTTAATTGAGGTGGCAGCTTACAGCTTCAAAGGTTTAGTTCATTATCATCATGTTGGGGAGGAGCATGGCAGTGTGCAGGCAGACATGGTACTGGATAAGGAGCTGTTACATGTTGACTTGAAGGCAACAGGAAGTGGTCTTCTACATTAGGTGGTATCTTGAGCATAGGAAACCTCAAAGCCTGCTGCCCCCATAGGGATACACTTCTTCCAACAAGGCATACCTACTCCAACCAAGTCATACCTCCTGGTGCCACTTCCTGTGAGATTATGGGGACCAATTTCATTCAGACTATCGCGGGCCTTCTTTCTATAATATTCCTGAAATAATAAAACTGTACTATTATCAGTAGCCAGAGTTACGGGTGGTAGACAGGAGAGAATTAGGTGTGGCTATAAAAGGCAAAAAGAAGAATCTGGCTATGGAAGGGCTCTTTGACCTTGGCATCTCAATGTCTAGACTGTGAAACTATAGAATAATTTTGTAAGATGCCACCCTTTAAGCTCTCTCTGTATTTTTTTAACTATACGTAGATTTACCGTTATCTTAAATTAAAAAGCTAAAGGGAAATATAAGAGCCAACAAGATGGCTCAGTAAGCAAGGACACTTGCTAAGTTTAAAGAAAGGCCTGAGTTTGGTCTCTAGGACCCACATGGTAGAAGGTGAGAACTGACTCCCATTAGGTGTCCTTTGACCTCCCCACATGTGCTGTGACATGTGCATGCCTCCACACAGACACACATACAGACACGCGCACTAAATAAATAAAATGCATTAAAAAAAACAACACTAAAGACTTTGTCGATAACCATAGTCTTCTGACTTCTTTGCTGCTCTGGGCCCACTTTTGCCCACGACCACAGTTGGCTGGAATGGGTAGTGGCCGCCGCCATTAGGCCAGACCCCCTGTTTGCCACAGTTCTTGCCTCTCCCTAGAGTCTCACACCCACAGTCATTGCTTCTTGCCTGTCCCCTAAAATCCCTAGTTTGCCACTTTTTTCTTTTCACGTTATTTCCCTGACTGAGAAAAGACTGTTGAGGAAGGAAGTGAGAAAACAATTGGCAGTAGATTGCCTTGTGTTTATTTTTAAGTGTGTGTGTGTGTGCGCGCGTGTGTGCGCTCAGGTGTGTGCAGGGTACTCAGTTCTGAACGTCATTCCTCAGGTACCATCCACTTTGGTTTTTGAGACAGGGTCTCTCGCTGAAACTAAAATTTTTCCATCCTACCAAGTTGGCTGGCTAGTGAGCTCCAGGGAATCCTCCTGTCTCTCCCTCACCAGTGCTGGGATTAAATGTGCATGCCACCGAACCTGGCTTTATGTGTAGGTTCTGTAGGGTTGAACTCAGGTTCCCATACTTGGGTAGCACACACTTCCAACAACAAAAATATTTCCCAGCCCTAGGCTGCTTTTTAAATCCGATGACTTCAATCAAAGAGGCCCATAACCATTAATCCAAAATGTTTGCACTGTGGGAGTCAATGAGAAAGTCTTACTTTGTTCACCGGGGCATTAAGCTAATATTCTCAAAATGGATAATGGCAACATTTGGATATGTACTACTCAATAAAATAGTTAAAAGTCCATTCTTCGACTGTGAAAACCTTTTCGGACTTGAAAACAACTTTTTTTGTGTGTTAAATCAGCTCTGCATTCAACCATGTGCCGTGTCCATGGGAGCTGCTGAGTAGATGCAATCTGGAGAAAATGCACTCAGCTCTCATGACATCGATTTTAAAAGCACAGGATTAAACAGTAGTGGTCATGACTTGTGCAATGGGGCCAGCTGTCATGCTAAAGGACGGCTGAGGATGTGGTGACGAAATGGCCCCACAGGTACAGATACATCACACGGGTCCAAGGGGCTGTGTCTTCCCCTTGCCTCTCGCTGGACACAGATGTTGGGGGGCCAGTGTAATCAAGAGAGCTGCGCAGCAGGAGGCAGAGAAGCTTCCTGAACCCACCTGGTGGTCCGAGGTGCTGTTCTCGTTGCCCATGGTGACTCGGGGTGCCCAGCGTCCCTCAGAAGGGTGTCAGAGCGACTGGAAAAAACGAAAGGGCATAAACATCTGGGAAGTGGGAGGAGAGCTGAGGTCTCTCTCTCTTCTGCGCATCTCCCCAGACTCAGAGCCAGACGATGGTAAATGTTTATCTCTTCAGCCACATCATGGAAAATCACTTTGGGTTCTCTTTTGCAACATGCCACCCAGACTTCTTTCCCAGCGCGGGCTGCCGCTTTCACTCCCCACCCAGGCTTGGCAGCAGCTTCTGACAGGCAAGTTTGTTCCTGAGTCTGAGTTAACGCCAGTGTGCACACATATGCACATACACAAACGAGTGACAAAAGGCTCCCCCTAATGCCAGGAAGCCTAGGGAACCCCGCTCCCAGGAGGATTTTCTGTTTCCAATTGTACGCAGTTTGCAAAGCCAGTGCGGCTGCTTTCTCGCTGTGGAGGACAGTGCAGCCCGCTGCCAAACATTAGGAGGTGGGAAATCCCCTTCTCTCCAACAACATGGTTGAGTTGTTGTTGTTCTTCCCTCTGAACACTTGGCTCATGAACTCAGCTTCACTTCTGTGTATGTCTTTAAAGAAAGCAGAGCGGGCTCCTTGATGAGGAAAATAGGGATCTCGGGGCCAGGCTAGGAATAAATACTCTTATGAAGCTGCTGAGACTAACAGAACCGTGCTGTGGGGCATTCGGGGACAGTACTGACAATCCTCCCAGCTAAAATGTGCCCTGCACAGAGAGGCCCTGTCCTTTGCCTGGTATCACTCACTAGAATTCAGGGACCAAGCTGGCACCTTCCCTTTATTTTCTTCATGGAGAAATTAAACCACAGAAACTTTGAGGGGAAAAAAATCGGATGCATTTTAAAGCCGGTGCCTCGGAGAACACCAATCTCAAGCAGTGTGGAGGACCAGAGTTCAAACCCCAAAAGCCAAGTAGGAAGCCAGATAGGGTTGCCTGCATTTGTAATCCCAGCATTCCTACTGCAAGATGGGAGGCAGAGGCCGAAGAATGGCAAGGAATTTGCAGGCCAGCTAGCCTGGAGGATGCAGCCCAGAAACCAGAGAGACATTGTTGGCCTTGATCAGTAAGTAGGTGGTGAGGATTCCTGAAAGTTGTCCTCTGACCTCTGCAAGTGAACTACAGCAAGAGTCTGACTCCCGGCATGGTTGTGTGCATGTACACGCATACACACAAATTAAAATGAATTAATTTTAAAAACAAAACTTAAAATTAACCAATTGGTTTGCTTAGTTATTCAGCCAGCATTGATGGAGTAACATGTCCATGCTATGCATACTGAACAATCGCGGGTCAATAAAATGTAAGTATTATGAGCAGGCCCAATTAAATGAACCTGGAGCCTGGGAATGCAGCTCAGCAAGGAAGCCCTTGTCTAGAATACACAAGACCTTGGTCCAATCCCAGTACGGATAAACTAAAATACCTCAAAACTGATGAAATGGCAGTAATGTCACCCTCGTGCAAAAGTCTCTTGTTCAAAAAAAAAAACAACCAAGTCTTTTGTTCCTAACATTTAAACTAAGAGAATATAGTTTATCAATAATTTTAGGCAATGTGTTTTGAATATTCACCCCACATACTAAGTTGTGGAATGAAAAAAGTCTTTAATTTAAAATTGATCTGTGCCATTTATTTTTCTTTTGTTCATTCTAAAAGACTCCTCATAAGCAAATAATGTTGCTAGAATCAATATTCCTTAATCAGTTGTTAAGTTCCTTGTATGTACCAGGCTAAAATATATGACATTAAATTTCACATGGTCCATTGTAATTTTAATTTTTTTCCTTCTTAGCCTTTTTGAGACAGGGTCTCTCTACACATCACTAGCTGTCCTGGAACTCACTTGTGTAGACCAGGCTGGCCATGAACTTGCAGAGATTTGCTTGTCTCTGGAATTAAAGGTATACACCAACATGCCCAGGTATAATATTAATTTTTGATATTCATTCACTAAATAAATTTAATAATTTTATTAAAAACCATAAAAGCTTTTTTCCCCCAAAGTCTCAAACTCAATGTTGCTAAGGATGGCCCAATCCTCCTGCCTCCACCTTCCAAGTACTGAGCTGGCTTTTGAACAGGCAAAAGCAAGCGGCAAAACTTCTGACACAGCATGACTCTGAGGTGGCGAAGAAGGCGGCAAAGTCACATCAGAGCTCTCCTCTGGGGACTACAGGACAGGCATCCTTCAGCTGCCCCAGGCCAGAAAGGCAGGTGCCCTACCTCTGCTTCCACTTACCTTCGGGGATAGTCTGAACTTTGGAGGTTTCAGCCCACCGAGAGTTTGCTTTTCAACAACTGGACTTTCTCCTGATCCTTTCAAAAACCAGTGAGGTCTAAGCTGCGCCCTGCTCCAGTTGGACGAACGACCGTTCCCCAGCCAGGTGCTGTCACAGACAGACCAGCTGGCTTCATACCTGGGCTGTGGCTGAGCTTATCCAAGCCTTCCTGCCTGGGACTCTGCACCTCCCAGCTGGTCCCTCCCAGGGCCTCTCCGCCAAGCATTTTCCCCTTGGTGACGTTAGCAGAGGCTCCTTTCAGAGCCGGCTTATTCTAACCAAAGCTGTCCCTGCCCTCTCATTGGTCACGCCTAGCCTTGCTTGCTTTTGTGCACGAGATCAGGGAACAGATCTCTTTCTAGAAAGAAGTCACGTGTTCACAGAGCTTCTTGTGTGCACCTGGGGAAATTCCACCGCGGATACTATGGGAAGACAGAAAACTCGTGGAAAGCAGATGACGTGGCAGTCTGGCACGGTTGGTGTGTGCAGAATGAACTTAGCCAGGCGTGGCTTGTGTTTCAACTAGTGAAGTCATAAAAAAAAAAAAAATACTGTGTGACTGGATTTGCTGATAGGCAGGCTGCCTGCCCTCTGGGGTGAAGGAGACCTGCAGACCTGATAGAGCCCCAGGCACCCAGTCAAATATTCTCCTGCCCACTGGCTTCTACTCCCATGATTCCTTCACTTTTTACTTCCAGTGAAAGAAAGTACCTCCAGAAGGCTCTGACCCTGTGACCAGACAGAACCCATTCAGGGAAACAAATCAGCATTTTGTTCAAGGATCCCTGGGTACCAGGTGAATACTACACACTCCCTGGAGGTGTTTAAGGCCCCTCTCGGGGAGAACTGGGGGCAAAAGAGCTCGAGTCCACTTTGCATTTGAATAGAGCAGGATTGTGTATTGTGGACGTGTGCCCAGATCACCAACTTTCTAACTGCACAATGGAATATTATTCAGCCATAAAAAGAAAGCATTGGTTCATGATACCACTCTGTTAAGTGTCCAAAGTGTTGAGAAGTGAAAGGAGACAGACACAATAGGCCACACATCAGGTGACTCCATTTATATCGACAGAATTGACAAATCCACAGGGACAGAAAGAAAAGTTGTGGTTCCCAGGAGCTAGGGAAAGACTAGAACAGCTGAATGGTTGGGTGCAGAGATTTATTTTGGTGTGATAAAAGTATTCTAGAGGGGCTGGAGAGATGGTTCAGTGATTAAGAGCACCGACTGCTCTCCCAAAGGACCCAGGTTCAATTCCCAGCACCCAAATGAAGGCTCACAACTGTCTGTAACTCCAGGATCCAACACTATCACACAGACATACATACAGGTAAAACACAAATAATTTAAAAAAAAAAAAAAAAGGGGGTTCTAGAATTAGAGGTAGCAACTCTACCAGTGACATTCTGGAACAGTATGCATACAGACGGTTACTGAGTTGCTTGTTTAAAAATTAAATATGAGCCGGGCAGTGGTGGCACACGCCTTTAATCCCAGTACTCGGGAGGCAGAGGCAGGTGGATCTCTGTGAGTTCGAGGCCAGCCTGGTCTACAAGAGCTAGTTCCAGGACAGGCACCAAAGCTACAGAGAAACCCTGTCTCGAAAAACCAAAAAATAAAAATTAAAATTAAATATGTAAATTTATGTTACCTGAATTTCATCACAACTGTTTCCTTGAGTTTTTGAGATCTGTAGTCCTGGGTGGTTGTATAGCCCAGGCTGGCCTTGAACTCCTGATTCTTCTGCCTCCACCTTCCAAGCACTGGCATCAAAGGTGCACATTGCCATGCCTGCCTAGAGTTCTTGCAAAGCTGAGTTTCACATCTTAGAGTTCTGTGCGATGTATAGTTGGGGCAGGGGAGGAATACTGGCATTGAGGGGGAAAGGTTTGAAGATTGCTTCTGTTGTGCTTATCAAACAGCAAGGCTTAGAGAAATGGGAAAAAGAACTCTTAAATCACAGGGGAGTTTTTCTAGGCTAGAGAAAAACCCTATGAAGCAAAGGTCTTGGATGAGCAGTGGTGTATGAAGAAGGGGATCTTGAACAGACGTAAAACCCAGTGAAAGCTAGACAACAGGAAGTGGAAGGAGAGGGAGACTGCTCCTGAAGGAAGGGGGAAACGTGAAACTAGCCAGCCCTGAGGTACACAGGGCTCTGAAGAGGGGGCCATGCGCAGCGCCCAGTTTTCGGTTCCGTGTATTTCGGTGACATGATTCTTGTCACTGACCCCCAGCTCTACAGCTCATACTCAAAAGGTGTGAGTGTTCAGTGAGTGTTCAAGATATCTCCAAGAATGTGAGTGGGTTCAAGGCCCAGAGCCATGAAGGGTCAGCTCTGGGCAGGGAACCATGGCTGAGTGACTGAGGCGAACGTAGGGAATGCCATGGATGGAGAGGTAAACACAGCAGTGCATTGCCCTCTCTTGGTACAGGTGCATTGCCTGGGATGCCTCTCTCGGCCCTGGAGACGTCTGTCCTCTTCAAATGCCTTTCTATGATCGTCTCTCAGTTGCTGCTTATGAGAACATCAGTCAAGTTGTGGATTAAGGCCTACCAGTATGGCCTCATTTTACTATGAGCCCCTCTTCAGGACTGTGTTTCCAAATATGGCCATATCCCCAGCACTGGACCTTATGAGCTCAATATACAAACAGAATTTGGAATCCATCAAAAGAAGAAATTTGAAGACACTTGGGGGAAAAAAAAAGTCAAAGAATGATTTTAAAAGAAAAAAAAAAGCCGTAGAGAAGACCTGCAGGGCTCAGAGTGGGGCAGATGGGACATCTGATCTCACTGGCTTCAGTAGTCTAGAGGTCTCCAGATACACTGCTAACTGCTTACAGGGGCTGTTAGGGTATAAAGTGCCAGGCGTTTAACTGGTGAGGACACAGAGGGCCTGGCCTGGAACAGAGAAGCTAGGAGAAAGAGTAGAGGAGGGTTTGCAAGGAAGAGTGGAGTAATTGTCTGGGCCAGCTTGGTCCTGGTACTGGAAGATTAAAGGGACAGAGAAGAGGCTGAGGAGGACAAGACAGACGTGCAAAAAATGAAAAAATACCCCTAGGCACTTTGCCCAGAAGGAGTTGCTCTTGAGAAATGAACACCAGCCCCAAATCTGGACCTGCATCCTGTAGTCAGGCAGCACCTAGGTCTTTGACACAATGTTCTAGTTTCATTTCTGTTGCTATGATAAACAACCCTGCCTAAAAGCAGCTAAGGAGAAGAATTTATTTGGTTTACAATCCCTGGCTCCACTCCATTAGCCAAGGGAAGGGAAGGCAGGAAAGAAGTCAAAGTGTCACATCCGGTGAAGAGGAGAGAGAGAGAGAGAGAGAGAGAGAGAGAGAGAGAGAGAGAGAGAGAGAGAGAGAGAGAGAGAGAGAACACATGGATCCTTGCTGCTCTCCTCTCAGTTCCTCCTGGTGGAGCTTTGTTCAGGGTTCAGGGTTCGCTGTCTAGGGAGCAGCACCACCCACATTCAGGGGGGTCTCCCCACCTCAATTAAACATCAAGACCATCCCACACAGACATGCCAGCAGCCAACCTCATGTAGTAATTCCTCATTTCCAGGTGATTCTAGGTTGTGTCAAGCAGCTAAAACTAATCAACAAGAATGTTTTGCCCAGGGCTGGCGAAATGGCTCAGCGGTTAAGAGCATTGCCTGCTCTTCCGAAAGTCCTGAGTTCAATTCCCAGCAACCACATGGTGGTTCACAACCATCTGTAATGAGATCTGGTGGCCTCTTTTGGCCTGCAGGCATATATGCAGACAGAATATTGTATACTTAATAAATAAGTAAATATTTAAAAAAAGAATGTATTGCCCATTGAAGACTCAGGTCTAAGAACCAGTCCCAGTCAGACACGCTTCCTCTTGGTTTAGTTACCCTGGAGCTAAAAACCCCAGGCACTCCAGGACCAGAGGTTTTTTATTGTGGAGTATTCCTTTACACTGTGTGAATATATGTCACTGTGATTGGTTTAATAAAGAAGCAGACTGGCCAATAACTAAACAGGATAAGGTTAGGTGGGAAAGCTAGACTAAGGATACTGGGAAGAAGAGGGTGGAGTCAAAGGAGTTGCCAGCCGGACACTGGAGGAAGAGAGATGATGCCACGTGGCAGAATATAGATTAATATAAATGGGATAGATAGATAGATAGATAGATAGATAGATAGATAGATAGATAGATAGGTGTGTGTTGTAAGAGTTAGCTATTAACAAGCCTGAGCTATTGGACGAGCATTTATAATTAATAAGACATTTCTGTGTGGTTATTTGGGAGCAGATGCTGAAACACAGAGAAGCTCTGCCAACATTTTATCATTATGACTGTTATTGAAGGGAGGTGGCTCTTTTTGAGTAAATATTATTTGCTGAGGGCTCACCATAGTCCTGGTACTATGCTTGGTTCGTGTATAATCTTTGTAGCCAACCTATTGGTCAGAACTATTATTGCTCTTCAGCAGGTGAGAAACCAGAAACTCACTAAGGTCAGATGTGGCCAAAGGGCAGGTACCCTACCGAAGGTGGGACTAGAATTCCAGGTGGGACTTTTTTTTTTCTTTTTCAAATTGTTTTTATTGAGCTATATATTTTTCTCCACTTCCCACCCTTCCTCCCCCTCCCCTTCTACCCTTTCCCATGATCCTCACGCTCCCAATTGACTCAGAAGATCTTGTCTTTTTCTACTTCCCCTGTAGATTAGATCCATGTATATCTCTCTTAGGGTCCTCTTTGTTGTTTAGGTTCTCTGGGGCAGGCAGGACTTTTTGATCCTCCCCTACATCCCTTTCTTCTCAGGGCGTGAGCATGGGAGGTATTTCTTCAGTGTTTCTCAACCACATGTGAGACAGTTGCCCACGGGGGCATATGCTTCTATAGATTCATCCCAAGACAGAATTTACTGACATGCTGTATTTCAGGGGAAAAAACAACAACAACAATAAAAAAAAAAAACACATTACTGGGCCTCATAGGCTGGCACACACAGGGTTGTTTCCATAAAGCCAAGTGCCTACTGTTAGCATGGAAGAAGAAAGCCGGTTGTCAAGCAGATCAGGGTATTCAGCTTGACCAGAGCTGCAGTTGTTCCCCTTGGACACAAAATGTGGCTACTCTATCTGAGGAGGCCCGTAAGTGGGTCACCAGGTAACGGGCATCAGCTCCTGATAACTGCACCTG